GTCAAAATTTATAGTTGCTCACAGGTGCTCAACAGTGTGTTTAGATAGCTAAGGAGGTGTAAGATTTATTAATATTACACAGCTCTAGTGTTCTTTAATGAAAAAAAGATGGGTCAAAGCTACTTTACTGCGTGCAGAGAGTCATCTCTCGTTATGGAGTTCTTCTGAGGCTTTTTTCATCCCCCTGGTTGATAGAGTTGCTTATGTGGCCTTTGCCTCATTTTCTCACTGTTTATGAAAGAAAGAGGAAATGAAATGCTCCTCCAACAATGAAGCCATTGGTTTGGCCACATACCAACCCTTGCAACCAACTCTTGCATCCCAGCAGAAGCAGCAGCACTCCAGCCACAGGGGAGCTGCTTGCAGCCAGAGTAGGACACTGCAGTTGACCCCCACGAAAGAAGAACAAGTATTTTGACTTGTTGTTTTTTTCTGTAATGGTGCCATTTATCACTATGGCACACATTCATTGACTTAGTCTGGCTTTTTTCAGTGTGGGATTTATACCTCTTTTCTGTTTTGAATATTGATGCAGCACTTCCCTTACGTGACTGCACTGCCAAATGGTGTCTAGACGCTCGAGCAGCTCTGACTAATTAGTGTAGTCACCTCGGTCTCTCAGCTCTGGCATTTACCTACTCTTTATGTTACTGCTATAAGTAGGTGCCTAAACACAAGCAGCAGTGCAAGGAGAGGTGGCAGTGAGCATGTCCAGGGCTCACCTGACATCCCCGAGGTGTGGCACGGGAATGATGTCGCTCTGTGCATTCCTAACAGGGCAAGTGGTTGTAAGCACTGACTTGGGCATCACAACCTGTGTGTGGGCAGCAGCAGGAGACCTGCGTTCAGTGTCTGGCTTGGTGTGAACATCACCAGGAGAGAGGTTTTTCTCCTCAGGGCTCAGCCCTTGTGTACCAACAATACAGTCAGAGAGAAAAAAAAGGACTGAAATCAACACCTGCCATTGCTTCTTGAGGAGGAATCTGTTTCAGAGTGTTGCTTTCTGGTAACTCATTAATATGCAAACTAAAAATTGTAAAAATTTTCTGCAACTTCACAATTCTTACCATACTTTTAAATATTGCACCAATGCTAAAGCTGAATTGACCCGCCTTAAAGAGGGAGAACTGATAAATATCAAAGACAACTTCAGGACATCAAAGAACTTTTACAGAACCTTGAGAACAAAAAGTAGTGAAAACCTAATCAATGTTGCCTATGCAACGGGTTGTGCTAATATAAAATTAAATTGCTTCAAAAATTATATGCAGATTCAATACAATAGTGCTATTAAAAAAGCTTATTTGTAAGCAAATGTAAAAGTTTTGAATTATCCAACTGAGTATTTGAAGAGCCACTATCATAAGGAGAGCAAATTAACTTTGCTTCCTTTGTATTTTTAACTGTTACAAATTATTTTACTGGTACTAATACAAAGCATTAGAGAATAGCAGGTTTGGGATTTTGTCTCTTCTTTTCAGAAAGGCTGTTTGTTATTTGAGCAGATTTTCTTTGAATTTGCTGATGGGATTATTCTTACTTTTCCAGCTAATGGTATACAAAATATTTAAAGTAAGCTTTCCAGAACATATGCAGGTTTTCCAGGGCTAAGATAAGACTAATTTAATTTATGGGGGTTTGCCCTAAGATTTTTTTGTTTGTTTGTTTTTGTTTTTTCCTCTTCCTGGGAGGAAGATTTCTGAGCAGTACCCCTTATTTATGCAAGGAAAAGGGATCACATCATAGATGTGACTGTGCACAATGAGGATTTTGTGACAGAAAAATAAATTAATAGTTTCTTTTAGATGTGGTCCTACTACATGGAATGAACAATATAAAATAGTCTCTCTCCAGCAGTGAGGTACATCTGTGTACACTGCACATGTAAAACTGTGCACACTTGAGGGTACCTGTGGCAAATTCTGTTTGTTCTCTGGACAACAAAACTGCTCAGTCATGGGTTAGAAACCCTCAAGTTGCCACCTACGGGTTGCCTCCTGCTGAAGGAGCACTAATTCAAAACAGCTTATTTTTTAATAGGACTGCTATTATCAGATTGCTCTGATTCTGCATCCCTAAAAGGATTGTCTCTTTTACCCAAACAGTTCTTAATATTCATGTGCAATACTTTAGGATTAATGGTTCTCATTAGGCTAATTTGTCTGTCTCTCTGGATAAATAGCAGTACCACTGTTGTGGTGTTCACTGATGAGCACACTTTCATCACTGCCAGTCTGCTGGAAGTGTTTGGGGGTAGATCTTCAGTGGGTGTTAATCAGCAGATCTTCACTGAAAGTATTGCAGTATTTTATGGCAGATGGAGGTCTCTGCTTTTATTTCTGGCCTTAACTTCATCTCCAGTGCAAATGACTCCACATAAGTATCAAGTGTGGTTAACAGCTCAGGAGAGGGTGAGCTTGGGTTGTGTGAAATTTAGATGACTGGCTGGGGAAGGGTTGTGTGATAATGTCCAGTAATGCTCAGACCAGAGCTATCTGAACTGTATTTGACTTACGAAAACCTAAATGTGCAATGTTGTCACATCATTACTTTTTATGAGCTCAAAAGTTCTTCAGAAATTCACATGGAAATCAAGGTGTATGCAAAAGAGATCAGCAGAGCTATCTTTAGCCTCCTTTAGGGTATACAACAAATAAGTTCTTTAGGTAGGCTGGGTAGTAAATGACTGGGCTTATTCCATGGTTATCAGTCCTTAAAAACATTTAGAGAAGAGGAATGTATTCAATGATCTCTGGACCAGTGCACCTAATAACCTAAGGGAGAACTGGACATTCAAGAAGGATGAAATGATTGCAAGAAGTGTTTTCAGGATTATCAAGATGCCAATTGTATAATTGTATAATCCATTGCCAAAAAGATTTATTTGTGGTCACATAAATAATGAAATTTAGATCTGAGGAGCTACTTTGTTTTAGAAATACAAGAATACTGTATATGCAGAAGGCTTGCCCCTTCTACCTTGGCAGAGGTTTTTCATACTAGATAGATGTAATAGGCTCTATTGTGTTCTAAACCTGACTTCATCCAGGAATTAGTAGAATTAGAAAAATCCTTGGAAACTATCAACTCTCTTTGTTCCCAGTTGATCCAAACGCTGGATTTGAGCCACTATCTTAATTACTGACGGGGAGAGGAGTCACTGCAGTGACAGAGGATTTCCTGTCCCAGATTTTCTTCCTGATGCTGCCATTTATCTCTTTCCATATATTGAGACCCATTTCCTCTCAGCCTGTCTCCTGGCAGGTACAGTATCTATTCACCAGCTAAGCAGGGATTTTATGTAAATTTAGAAATATATGTATACATACATATATACACACACATATATGTGTATTTGAAAGTTTGCTAGAGAGGTTGACTTTTTAAAGCTAATAAAGGCAACTGGGTACAGATTTCCATCTCAAGGTTAAGTGGTTAAATAAGGCAAGAGAGGGGGTGAAAAGCTTAGGGTTGACTGTGGCTTGAAGGCAACCATGGGTTTGCTGGTGTCAGTACAGTTAGAGAGAGATGAAACTAAAATAAGGCCATGAGAGCAGCTCTCATAAATTCAGGTATAGGTTGCATGGACTTTATTTATAGGATGCTTTCTCAAACTAAGCCTCTGAATCTTTTGATGTTTGCCCATCGTTACTTCAGGCCAATTAATGATGTGTATCCAGTCCCATTCTGGGGTAGGTAAAACAATAAAGCATACAAAGATAATTAGTCTCTGGAGCATGTAAACAAATAAAGTAAATCACTTGCAAATCACTTGTTTCTGCTAACTTTTGTGGGGTTGTTGCAAAACTGAAAAAGAGCATTTATATTGCAAATCTGCATAATACTGGAGCAGTAATGAAAATTCATAGATTGTACTATTCTGATTTTGAAAGGGCTTTGCAAAGATTAAGCATCTTATCCTGAGACATTACTGTGGGTTGTCAGATGCAAAAGAACATTTTTATACCTATTTCAGAAAAGAGAAGATTGAAGTAGGGAGGTGATTTTTTTTCCATAGATGAAGGAGTAAATAACACTTTGTAAATAAAAAAAAATCACTACTCCAAGATTATAAGGGTAAGATGAGCAGAGGAGTGACTGTAGGATGTTTGACCTTGACCCACCTCATCAATGCCTTGCAAATTTTACAGACGTGAATGGGAGCATTATGTGGCCTTTAAATCACAAATTTAGAAGAGATCCTGTTAGTCCTTTTAATTTCCAACAGGGTAGTGATCAGCTGATCACAGTACAGCTTCACTCCTGGTCTTGAAGCACCTCCTGCATGGAATCAGTGCTCTCCCCTCCTTGGCCAAGGGCTGGCTGAGGTGAGTGAGGATAAAGTGGCCACTCAGCAGCAGAACTCCATGCAGAGCACACTTTCCTTTCATCTCAGCCCTGGAGCCAGTACTCTGGAGTTTGGATAAATGCAGGTTTTACAAGAACAAACAGATCTCTGTGGATCTGGGGGTGAGGAGGCTGCCCCAGCTGCTGCTGCAGGCCAGGCCAGGACAGGGTGAGCCCACTCTGGAAACATGGGACACCACCAAAGCAAGTCCTGCTTCCAGTCCTGCAGGAAGAGTCTTGCTTGCTCTGTGAGCACAAACATACAGCTTTGTGTAATCAGTAAAACAGCAGAAGCTGTGCTCTGAATAAAGACTCCAGTTGGAGTTCAGATCCAGGCAAAATGACTCCTCATATGATAAAATCAGTCTTTGTCTTTTTTTCTTGGCATGAAAATGCAGAACATTTCTTTTAGTCAAGGGCAGGCATTTCCCTGTTCTGTTCCCTTTTTACTGTTTTGTTACGCTTTTTTGCTCTGACTTCAAAAATAGACTCTGGAAAGAGATGTGTCTTAGAAAGAGACTCTCAATAGCTGAAATGTGTCCAATATGCATTTAAGTTAAAGAATATTAAGCCTTGTCCAAAAACAGAGTGTAAAAGGTAAGAATGCCTTCAGGCTTGACTTTTAAAGATACACATTTTTCTTCCCGTTGCAGATCTCGCCTTGCAGATTTCTTCACAAACTGCCAGCCTGAGTCACGCTCTGTTAGTGGCTGTCTGAAGGAGAACTATGCTGACTGCCTGCTCGCTTACTCGGGGCTCATTGGTAAGAGGGCAGGGAAGGGTGGGGGCTTGCTCATGAGAAAAAAACCCCAAACTGCATTTGGAAGGCCTGTGTGAAATTAAAGCTGGAATATAATGCTGTATGATGTGACACCAGGCCAGTTTCTGCACCTACATGGAGTGGCCCTGCTTTACCTTACAGAGATTCTTGGGGTAAGCTTGTACATGGCAAGAAAATTAAGGATGGAAGATAAGGAGAGAAAGGTGCTTGAACTTGAAATAAATGCAAGCTTAAAAAATAAAGCTTATTTAGAGGGTTGAATGTAGACAGGAGTAAGGAGTAGGAAGTTAACAAGTGGAAGTGCAGCTTGATTGATATTGCAGCTGTCATCACAAGTTTGGGTAAACACCTTCAGAGAAAGGTACCTGAATCTGAGATATGAAACAATAGATCAATCCAGCCTTTTATCAATTCCAGCTGCTGTTCTTTCCATGATATCCTTCTGTCCACTCTTAAGTGTTTTCAGAGATGCCTGTCAGTTTTCAGAGATGCCTGTCAGTGAGATGAGCTGAGACCAAATCTGAAATCCTCTTCCCTTCCCAGCGTAGTTATTTTTGTTTGTTGTCACCTTCCTGAGTGTCAGCATGCACAAGGATGCCTTTATGGAAGCCAGATTCCACATGCCACCCTCAGTATTTGATTCCTGAAAGAAAGAGATCGTGTCAAGAAGTTGAATGTATGGTAGAAATATCATAGTTGGGCAATAAATAATAAGTGAATGTCAAAACTCTGAAACAAATAAATTTGAAAGGCCACCAGATAAAGTGTTTTTAAGCTTGCAGCCTGCACCTGCTGCAGTGCAGTAATATCCCCTTCTGTTGGGCATGAAGGTGCCAGCTGAGGCCCTGAAGCTGATCCTGCTGTTAAATAAATGTCTCTGGAGATAAGATCGAAATGAAAATATTTCTAGAATAGGTTGGGTTTGCTGAAAAATGACTGAAAGCTATCCTCAGTGACTTCTTGTTACCATTCTTACTACTCTAGCAGTTAACAAGTGAGGTAAGCCCATGTGGCAATGGGTAAAATGAGATGTGATGGCTTCAAAGGATATTCTTCTACCACTGAAGAGATTAAGACAGTATGCAAAGGCTATAACATCTGAGCAGTTATGACAGACTGTCATTTGGCTCTCAAACAGAGAATTGAATAGCCTTGAAATCTGATCTTGTCAATGAGATTAGGAACTCTGGCTGCTGGCAAGGAGTAACTACTACTCACAGATACTTCTGGCTAAGAGCTGCCAAGTTCTTGCTGGACCCTGAGAGTTTGACTGGCAGTTTTGTTGGTTTTATTTTTCAGTTTAACCCCAAAAATCACCCAGTTCCTCTTTTTGGAATGGGGGCGACCATCTTGCAAAACACTGTCACACATCAGAAATGTGGAATGGGTCTAAGGAGTTCAAATCAAAAGAAGATCTACTTTTCAAAGGGAAAAATGCACATTTTTCTTTCTTCCTGCTACCCCCTGGAGACTTGCAAAAGAGGAGCTGACTGGTGTTACGAGAGTTTCTGCTTCTTAGTAGTAATTCTGTTAAATCAAGAAATTACCAAAAACGTTCCTGTGCTGAAGCAGTAAATTCCTGCTTCTGATATCAATCTGCTGTGAAAGTGGAGTAAGGCAGAAATCAGCAGTATAATCTTTCAAATGTCTGCTTAATAGATATAAAACACAAGAAGAAGAGTTAGACTGTGGTAAGAAGCTGCTACAAATCCATTCATCCATCAGAGCTTCAGGATCTCCATTTAATTAAGATGAACTATTGTTCATTAAAATAAAATATTATTTCATTTAGTCATTTCATTAAATGTAGCAAAAATTGCACCTCCACAGAGTTTGTTCAGGAAACTGAGGCTTCTCTATGGAAGTTACAGTGAATATGAGTCTTTCCTCAAATATAGGGATGTAAATGAGAATTAACTTCACTGAAATTAGTGGAATCCCACCTAAAATGAATGACCTTAAATGGAAATAGAGCCAGTCACAGCTTTTGTGTGAGGTGCTTTATTAACCAAATGGAGAACAGTCTTTAGAAGTTGCTTGAGTATTTGCATCAGGATGTTATGTATATAATTTTAAAGATGTGGACACTTTACAGGAAGTTGAAAAACCTCAATTCATTGCTTTAGGCTCCTTGTTGTAGCATAGGGATAAGCTAATGTTTTCTTTTTAACTATCAGAAAAGTATAAAAAATAATCAACGTAAAAGGAAACTGTGATTAGCCACAGTTGAGTCAGTGCTTTGGTTACAGCCTGGCTGAGCCATCTGGACCCTCTGCACTCCCATATGAATTAAGGTTTGCTCTAAGTGCTGACTTCAAGATCTGCTTTAGCATTCACTTTCTGACACATTTTCCCGTGTCTTGAGCAAAATCCATCCAAGTTCCCTCTTATTCCCAGGAATTCCATGAGAGTTTGTGTGAATAAGCTGGACTTGCTTTGGGCCAAAGAAACTTCAGCCCCTTGTCCCTTCTCCTGGACTCACCATCCATCTCCTTGTTAATTCACCCAAATTTGAGCAACCTCTGGGCTGTGTTCAGGCCAGCTCTGCTTTTGTCTAAATTGTGGAGGTCTCACTGCTGACCTTTGAGACCCTCCCAGAGCTGTTTGATACGTAGAGCTCAGAAAACCAAGCATGTCCTATTTTACCCTGGTTTCTCTGATCCCTTAGTGTCCATCAGCAGAATTTCCAAGATGCCAGCTAGTGGAGAGGGGAGGGGGGGAAGGGAAAGGCGCACACGTCACAGGGAAAAATGAAAATCCACCCCAGGAAACCAAGCATATAATCTGCTTGGCTTCACATCTGCCCCCAGGTTTAAATGACAGACTGATTTTCTACTAGCTGCTCTTTCAGCCACTCTGTTTTTGCTGGATGCACAGTTTGTGTGCTGTGTACACACTTTCCTTGTCCTGTCTTTCCTGTATTCATCAACCCTAATTGTACCTTGGTATCTGTTACACTTTTAACCCCTGTCTTAACCCATTTTAATTACCTTATTACCTCTTTGTGATAAGAAAGTCTTACCTCAGTGACCTTCTTAATTTCCTCAGTACCTTTTTGTTTTTTCAACCCTTCACTAAGCATTTGCTAATTAGAATTTTTTTTTCAGCCTACTATTTTCTTTCCATTTGCAAAATCCTCTTGATTTTCTCTTTCTCACACTTCTTTTCAGATCATGTTGCAGGGCTGAAATAGTGTTCTGAACCACCACATACATGAGGGAGAGACATTTTAATGTGTTTTATTTTAATTTAACATCATCTCTCTTCTTATTTATCTACTGTCCAGTTTTCATTAACAATGCAAATTAAATTTGCCTATTTTACTAAATTCTCTATCTCCTTTTAATGAATTTTGAACCATGCTGTTTACTCATGTACCAATCTCATGTAGAATTCAAGCAATTATTAGTGCAACTATCTGTTAAAAGCTGCAGGAAGCCAAAGGTATGGGATTATAGTGAAAATTAAGAACATCCCAAAAGGAGAGAAAAGATGCTTTTTGTGAATCTCACAAAGGGACCACATTCATTTTCACATCCATTACTGTCTTCCTCAGGCCAGCCCTAGTGCCTGTTGTCCTTTGTCTCCCACGTCACACATGAGGCAGTTTGCATGTTGATTTGTTCATTTCCCAGCACTGCCTGGTGACTGAGAGGCTATTAGACATCACTCTGTGATTTGTGCTATTCCTAATGTTCCTTTTTTTAGCTTGACGTTTGATAGCCTTTTCCCGTCTGTTATTGCAGACTGTTGGACCCTGGACCTGTGGACCAAATTTTCTCTCCTCGTGTACACTTTGGGTCTCTAACATTTGTCCTTCATCTATTCCATCTTCTTAATGACTACTTTGATGTCAGTTTTGAGGAGATGTGATCACATTTCCTCACAATATATGACCTGTCCTAGGATTGCAAATTATCCAGTGAGGAACATGTTCCCTGAAGCAGCTGGCAGCTGTTCAGGTCTGGAATACCTTCCCCTTTTCATTTAATTTTTCCGTTTTGGTCAGACAAATAAAATAAAGATTGGAACTTCTCAGTCCTTAGGACAGTTTGAAATATCTGACCTGCTGGGGTAATGCATTCAGTGACACTACTGGTTTCAGCAAGTGCTCATCATACAGCAGTTTCCTGATCCAGATGAGGGATGAACACTTGCTGTACATCTTTCAGGACACAAAATGCCTGCTTTGGTTTCATTTCACTCTCGGTTGCCTTTCACTGGCATATAAATGGGAGAATATTTACCCAAGAGTTCGTAACAGAGTTAGAACGATTCTGTGGTTGGAAAGTTGTTGACAATTTTTAGGAAATAATCACTTTACTGAAGAAGTAGTGAAGCAGCAGGATTAATAATAGTTTTTTACCTGCAAAGAATCTGCTGTACCTTTTCATGCATGCTGGTTGTTGCTCTGTTCATCACCCTAACCCACTCTACTGGCAGGTCCCTTATGAGCATCCTGGGTTAACACTGGTCCAAGATGTGCCAGGGCTCCCTTCAGCATCACCAGCATTCTCTTTGCTCATGCATTTCAGAAATGTTTTTCCAGTCTGGCTGCAGACTCAAGGAGGAAGCACAGGTCTGGTACCATTTTAGCCATTTATTTGCAGCTAGAATTAAAATGAGAAAAAACACAAGTGAGGAAGGAAAATCCTAAAAGATTTTTAAGTGCAGCTCTAAGGACAGTCCACGTGTGTTTGATTTGGCAGCAAAGCTTTTCAAAGAGGAGCTCACCTTCCCCCAGCCCATCCCTCCTTCTGCTATGGTTTTCTACGTGTCAGTTCTGCTGATGCAGCTCTCTGTGGGAATCCTTTTTGGAGGGAAGAAATGTGTCTTCAGTGTGTGAATTGTGTTACAGTCCCTAAAGTGATTGCATTCAAACAGCAGAGGGTGTGAAATACAGCACCAGGGCTGGGTGTCAGAGGCTGAGAGGAGCCAGGAGCTGTCAAATCTGTGGGTCAGAGCCCTGCTCTGGGTCTGTGTGGTGAATCCAGCCCCGAATGCATGACTTCCCAAGGGCTGTTTGCCATCTTAGGGTGCAAGGAATGTTCCAGTGCTGTGGAAACCCAGAGCACCGGGAATATTTCTCTGTCTGCTCTGGGGTGCCCTGACCCCCAGGGGAGCACTGACTTTGACCCTCATTCATGGAGAAAGTTTCCTACACTTCAGGATAAACTAGAATCCACAAAAGTGTGGAATAGATTGTAGAGAGTAGTGTTGGTGTATCACTTGGTGAGAAATTTAGGTATTGGGATTTTTATCATGTTGTGGATGGAAGGGAGATGGAGGGCACAGGGTGTCGTCCTGGGTTTCTTCTTCCTTCTTCTTCATGGGTTTGGCTGGCATTTTGTAATTGGGCAGAATAGTCTGCATTGTGGGCTCTTTGGGATCAGTTATTGGGTTAAAAGGGAAAATAATCTAGGTGTCAGTTCTTAATTGGACAGTTTAGTCTTAAAAGACCTTATAACAAAGAATCTTAGCCATTTTGTGCCTTCTAATGAAAAGCTGCTAACTCACAGTAGTGAGACTGTTTTACTGATAAGAAATAATAAACACCTGAGTCTGAACATGAGCTACTGTCTCAAGTGCCTTCAATCCAGACCCAGAGAAACCCACAACTGGTACCCTGACACAGTGCAGAGGTTGCTGACAGTGCTGTGCTCACTCTGTGACAGGCACCGTGATGACCCCCAACTACATCGACTCCAGCAGCCTCAGCGTGGCCCCATGGTGCGACTGCAGCAACAGCGGCAACGACGAGGAGGAGTGCAAGAAATTTCTGAATTTCTTCCAGGACAACACATGCCTTAGTGAGTACGAAATTAGGTGTCTTTTAACGAGTTGCAGAGTGTTTTCTGGAATTCCTCTACTGCTTAAGCGTGTTACGACACATTGAGGCCATCACTGTGCGCTTTGTCGAGCGGGGTTCTGTTGTTGGTGTAAAAATTAAAAGAATGAGCAAATCTGCCTGATACTGTGCTTTGTGGCCATGATTTCAAACATGAGAAACTCCTGGGGAAAAAAATAGAACCCAAAGTTGTATGATATTGAAATATGTTTACATTGCAGGGCATATTTGGAGCCTAACAGTCAGGCAGCATCTTTACCATGGAATTGCAGCACCTGAGGGGTTTCTGTATAATTTAAGAAGTTCATATAAAAAAGACATGTAGTTAGGATATGAAGGATTTGCCGTGAGTAAGTATAAATTGGATTGTGCTTGCAATTTACAGCCAACTTCATTTTTTTTAGGATATTGGATCTCAGATGCCTGGTTTTAACACAAGCCTGGATAGTAACTATTGTAAAGATTTTGTTAAATTATTGATTTTTTTTTTCTGTCAGATTCACTTCCAAATTAGGGACTATTATAAATTTCAGAATGGCTCAGTGGAGTCAATTTTGGCAGGTTCTCTTTTCAAATTTCCTGTCTGCCTGGAGCAGCATAATTGGATGATGTGGAGTGTGCATCAGAGTTTTAATTTCAGATAAATGAGGAGACCAGAAGAGCTTGGCTTCCCTAGCCTAGCAGAACAGAAGTTGAAAGGATACGTGATTGTCCTCTGAAATTGCATTAGCAGGGCAAACCCAAGGAGGGGAAGGGATTACTTCACCTGCAGGACAACATTGGCATAAGATCAAAAATGGAGATATTGGCCATACATATTTAGGCTTAAAATGGAAAAATTTGAAACCATCAGACTAAAGTTAAGAAATAGGCTTCCAGAAGGAGTTTTGAGGGTAAAAGTGGTTTTAAAAGTCATATTTCATCAGCTTATGCAAAGAAGCAGGTATCATTGCTTCTCTCCAAAACAGTAAAATGAACTCAGTGATCCAGACTGGCCCATCCAGCCCTACAGCCTTGAGCTGATGCTGAGGCAGGGCTCAGTATTTTACTTGAGGGTCTGAAAATCCCCATTGGTAGCTTCTCAAGAGACAGCATTGCAGTGAAGGCACAGGGAGTTCTGTGCACAGAAACCTGAGTTGCTCTGTGATGCACTATTTATTAAGCTTTGGAAGAACGAATCAATTACTCAAGTTCATTTAACAAAAGAAAAAGAGAAAAGAGTTCAAACTTTATGAGGGGTAAAATTTAACAATATGCCATCAGACCTTCAGGCCTAATGGCAGTTGCCATTTATATCTATTGCAGTAGCTCAGATTTTATTCATTTGTGAATGCATTAATTTCTAGAGTATTGCAGGTTCCTTTTGGAACATAAAGACAGAGCGATTCCTTGTCCTTTCTTTTGCCATCAGTACAAAAGCATTAATGAAGACAAATCAAAGGCATTGGAGGTTACTGGGAGACAAATTATGTCATCCTAGCTGCAAGATAATGTCTTCTTCAGGAAGAAATTAAAGGTGTTTCTGGATTTTCTGTAAAGTTTTGTCTTTCACATAGAATAGGAATTTTTAAAAATTTTTATTTTCATTAGTGAGACTTCCACTGCCTGGAGAAAATGTCATTAAAATTCTTTCCACTTCTTTTATACAACACAAAAACTTCTTTTTCCACAGAAGGAAGAAACTAGGAATTTCTTGCTAGTCTGTTTTTCAATATATTTCCCCTTCAAAATAGAAAACAAACCTGTTATTTGGGACATTTACAACAATGATCTAATTGAAGTTGCTCATTGCAGTGGGGCTGGACTGGAAGACCTTGAAAGATTCCTTAAACCCAAACAATTCTGTGATTCTGTCATAGAATCACAGAATATTTCACGGTGGAAGAGAGTCATAAGGATCATCAATTATGCTTATATGAAATAATTGAAGACTAATTGTAAAGGCCACTTGTTACTTTGAAAACTGGAAGGATTGCAGGTATTTCTGTGGCCATTCTTGCAACAGTGGAAACAAAGAGTTACTGTTATTTTAGGAAATACTGCTTTTTATATTGCCTTATTCAGGGAAACACAAGAAAACTTATCATATCCCTCTTCCCACTTTGTCTCCATTAATGCAGCTCATTCTGGTGCTTTTTACAAGTTCTTCTCTTTGCATCTTGACGTTCTGAGAACTAATATCAGAATAAAATACATCTTTTTCAGAAGAAAATTACATGTAAATTATTTTATAAGGCAAGGAATGGCACTGAGAAGAAGTGTTAATAACTTCTACATATTAGTCCCCAGTGAAATTGTTTGATTTCTTGTACAAAGAATTTGAAATAAGAAATCCCCAAATCCTTGTTGAATCCCCAAAGACCTGATTAAGAACTGTTTTTCTATTTGTTTATAAAAAAACTCCAACCAATTTACTCTTGCTATAAACACACTCTTTAATCCTGTGAAACTGTGATAAGCTTTTTAACTTTTATATTCTAAAGTTTTAGTTTAACCATGTTTCCCTCACCCAATTATGCAGATTTTGATTGAAAATGGTAAGGAAAAGATTGCCTTAGTTAAACTATTTTGTAGTTACAGGCATATTAGTTTTACTACAACAAGCTGTAGAAATAAATATTTATCCAGTTCTCTGTTTTTAGTTTGCTCTGTAACTTCACCTGCTTGAATTAGGACATGACATTCAAACTGTATTTTAAATGTTGAAAGTAAATTTTTGAGTCTTCGGGATGGTAACAAATATGATTATGGTAAGTCTTAAAGCTTCTGTCAAGAATTACTGGAAACATTACAAAGAAGAGGCTGCACCAAATAATTATGTGACCCCAGATTTTCCGTTCATGTTTCTGATAGGTTCAAAAATAAGACACATTTTTCAGCATAAAATTGAGTTTCTACAAATACACATTTAAAATGTAATAATAATAATAACAGCAATAAAAAACAACTCAGTTCTGCTTTTTGCCTTTCTTTTTTTTTTTTTTTAGAAATAGAAAATTGCCTGTAATTTATTTTCACAGAAAATGCAATTCAGGCCTTTGGCAATGGCACTGATGTGAATGTCTGGCAGCCAATCTTACCAGTACAGACCACTACAGCCACAACCACGACAGCTTCCAGACTCAGAAACACAGGGTCAGAGACCACCAACAACGAAATTCCCTCCCACAACGATTCACCAGCATGTGCAAACCTGCAGGTAAGAGTTTTATACTTCTTGTTGTGCATAAATAAAAGTTTTTCATAGGTACCTGTCGAGGAGTCTCGCTCTGCCTAACTAGATGCCTGCCTAAACTGGAATATCTGTTTATTCCCGTGGTGTAGCTACAAGCTGCATATGTTGTGAGCTGTCAGACACTCTTATTTTAATCAGGAACTTGCATATCTCAAAGTGGACTTTATTGCCTTGCTGTCTCAGAAACAGGGGATGGTATTTAATTTCTTATCACAGGTTTGAATATGAATGTGGCGCTCTCCAAATCCTGCCAGGATATGTCAGATTAAATTAATCCCTTGAGTACTCCTAATTCAGAGGGAACTCTTAATGTGAGCTAGCATGTCCTGCTGCCTTCTTTCTTATGTTATTGGTATTAAACTCAAGAAGGTTTTTTGGCTGAGTAGGTCTGGATATTATAGAACATATGGTGCTGCAAGCTACACATTGAAGAAGCTGGACAAAGATAAAACTTTTGAATCAGGCACTCTGCTGAACTGAGGTGGAGGTCATGATGTGATTTTGGCCAATGGCTGTAGTGACTTTCTTTGACACTTAAATTAGGCTATTGACAGTGGATCATTGATCCTGGATTTAGAGGCTCACCACTTGCTGAAGACAGTTTGTGCAGATCTTTGAAAGATTGAAGGACTTGGGCAGGAGAAGACAGCAGGCTCAAGGCAGGAAGAACTCAGTAGGAAATGTAAAATGAAAACATCCTTAGGCCAGATTGGAATCGGGCTGTAAAAATTTCTGGTGGTTTAAATACAAAATTAGGTCAAGCAGGGATAGATCAGCTTGTCCTGTTTATTTTTGTCTTTACAGAAGGAAAATTGCTATGTGACACAAATATAAGTGTCCAAGATTTAAGGTCTCAGCTGGTAAATAAAATAATACTTTCTGTATCTCTGGATTTCACTGTTAAAGCATTGATTTTTCACTTCCTATTAAAAAAAATTCACTTTGTTTTCTTAATATTGAATGGTTCCATGTTCACTGTACCAGAAAGATTTTATTTCTGAGAAGTATGTTTTGCTTCTTAATTTTTTCCTGCACCACTCTCTCTTCTTCATCCTTTTCCAGTTCCTGCATCTATTTTGCATTGGAAAATTGTATCTGTATCAACATGAGGGACATTTCAGAGTCACAAAGTACAGGGGGTTAATGATAGAGGGTGCTGAGTTTAGGTCCTTCTGTTTTAATTCTGTTTTTCTCATCTGTGCATTCATTATTATTTGAGCTTTGTAAGTTATTGATAAAAAGAGACAGAGGCATATATTGCTATTTGCAATAGTCATTTAAACAAATAGGATATGCTGAATGAAACAAAGCCTTTTAAAGACTAAAACTTGGAATATCTTGCATTTAGAACAGGACCTTGATGGGATGTTATTGAGTCACTTCATGTTATATTAAAAAGTTGTGTTATGGGAGAGATCACTTTTTCCTTCAGTGTTTGTACAGCCCCCTGTAGAGTCAGGCCTCCAGATGCTACCAAAGTACACATAATAAATAAAGAACTGAAGAAATGGCAAATGATCACAAATCCCATTGGATTCACTTGAATTTGCAAATGTTCCTTAGGCCTGAATAGATGTTCTTGTGTTTTGAAAATTACTTAAATTCTTCGCTGTCCTTCCTCCTGTTACTGTGGAATTTTGAAGTCACATCCCACATGAGTTTATCAGCTCTGGTTTAAAGCTGTGCTTTGACTTCAAGGGTACCCCTCGAAGTACTTGGCACAAGAAATAAAGGTTGGTAGGGAAATTAGGTTCCTTTAAATAAAGGATCTCTGGTGTTTGGTAGAAACTGTAGATAAAGTCTGCACTAAAATGTCACTGAAGTTATGTGAACCAAGCAGTTTTATTCCTGTGAAGCACAATATTCTATGCCTACCACTTCCTTCTGTCAGAACTGAAACACAAAGAACAAAGCTCTAATATTTTAATGCGTTTTTCAAAAAGTAACTTACGAACAGAGCCAAAACAAGCCCACAATTTTTTAAAAAGAAATCTATGTTTTTTGGACAGTATGGTGCCACTTTGCATGTGAGACTTAAACCCTAATGCAAATTTTATAAAAGAACTGGTATTCATGTTGCACTTGGAGAAGGGTATTCATTCCAAGCCTCTCCTCCCATAAAAATATGCCTTTGTAGTGTTTTCAAAACATGAACTAGTGCGGCCAAAAGCTTTTCTATATGCTTAGCAGCTGAGCTGAAAGGTTTCTAAAAAGCAATATAGCCTGAACGCTGTGAAAAGTCAAATTACAAGCATCAGTCTCAGCACAAAGCAACAGTGGCAGAGGAGGGCTAGGGAAGTGGTCATTGAGATGCAACAGGGCTGCATATTCTAGTTAGTGGGTTAAAAAATACAGCAAAGGAAGAAAGAGCAGGAAGTGATTGATTAGTATAAATTGCCAGAGAAAGAAATACAGCAATGGAAGAAAGAGCAGGAAGTGATTGATTAGTATAATATGGCACAGAAATGAGCAATACCAACCTCCCGGGGCTGTAAAATACAGGGCACTAACCCAATCTGCCAGGAGCAGCACTGACTGAGCAGTTTTTGATACATTTCTCTCTGACTTGTTCAGAATGGTCGTGTGAGGAGCAGGAGTGCACCCATGGTTTTGTTGCTGTGCCGTGTTCTCCTGCACAAGCAAACCTGGGAATCTGAAAGGTGGGGAATGCTTGTAGAAAATACGAGATAATTTTGTTTACCTGTACTCAATATTTACTTCAAAAACCTGTTGAAGATTTGGAATTTAAAATAATGTTTATTTTAGTGATGCTGCTTAGAAGTTGTTCTTCATTTGAACTTATCATTGCTATGAGAATTTGCAATTCATCCTATTGTGGGGTATTATCTTACTTCAAATCAATACAGCAAAATGTTTATTTCTGAAATCTGCTTGCTTTATGTTTACATATACATGGATTGTGTGAGATACTCTTTTTTTCTGTCCCTCAATTAAGTCAGCATTCTATCTTTGCCAGGAAGATGCTTGATTTATTCAAGAATCCTTTAAACTCTTTTTACAAACCTGACTTCTAACAGAATTTGCTAAACACAGTAAACAGTAGTTAGGTTTATACAAAATGCTAAATTTAAGTATATTTGAAGGGCTTGACATCTTGCAAAGAATCCTTAGCACCATATAAAAATAACATAAAGTATTGTGAACAAAAAGGAAGATAAATCCCAGCAGCATGTTCCTTATGCAGGCAGATTTTATTAAGTAATTGCCAACCCTATCTTTTTTTTCTGGTGGCTTCACTCTGATGCTTTCTATTTAACTGACATATATGTTAATCCTTCATTTTCAGTCATAACTTGCATTCAGTATGCCAGTCAAAAAATGGTTCTGGTCTTCCAGTCTCATGTTCTACCCCCACTGCCTGAACCATCGTGTTGGATTATTTGAAAGGGACAAAAGAATGAGTTTGGATGTGTACTCACAGCATGTATTCTTCAAAAAAAGGCTGCCTTTGCATTTAGGAGAGATGGATAGAACTGAAGGATGATAATGAAATGAACCTCAAGTGATAGATTAGACCAGTTGTTCCTGGGTCATTGCAGAGATAAATAAAAAACTCAGATTCCCACACGGGGTTTCTATAATATTTTAAAGGATGTTTTGCAAAAGACAAAAATTGTAGAAGTCAAGATGGTTAAGGACATTTAAGTAAATATATGCATCCAAGTCTTGCTAGCTAGCTCTATACTTTGTTTTCTCATATTTATTATGTCTTGCTCTTGCTTTGGATAGCCAGCATTCAAAGAGAAATTAAGATTTTTGTGCTTTCGAAGAATGTAGCAATGGGGAGATATAATTGAGATCCATGACCCACCCTTTGGACTGAAGACAAGTCCAGTATGTAAATGTTGTTGTGCTCTCAGCAGCAAAATTTAAAAACTATGAGATAGAAATTGAAAATATCAAACATCTTGTGGGGAACATGGGGAAAGAGAAATCTGGATACTTAAATATATCAATTCTTTCTATTGGCATGTAAGATTAGTGGGTGTTTTTAGCAGATGTGGGCCATAATGCAAGCTGCTCTTCCACAAATTCGTGTACTACTTGTGATTTAAAAAAAAATACTTATAATGATGAATCCTAGGACAAAAACAGGAGAGAGGGCTCACATTACTCTGAGGAGAGCAGGAATTGAGTGTGACTGAGACTGAGAATTACTCTGCTTTTGCCCTGGAGATCTGTCTGTGCAGACCTTCAGCACTGTGCAGGGAGCTGCTAATCTGGTGGGTTAAGTACCCTCTCTAACTGCTTAATGTTCCTTCCCAGGTGCTAAATACCATTTTTCAAAGCATTATGTAGATGTTTGGAGAGGGTTAAAAGCTCCTGTGCAGCATTCTGAGGATCAGGCCACAGCAGGTGTGGATCTCCACGGGCTGGTAATTGGGTGGTGGGTGAGCACAAGCAGGAAGCACAGGCAGTGTGTGGGTGAGGGAATGGCACAGCTGCTGAGATGGAGCACTGTGGTGGGGACAAGGCTTGTTTTATCCCCTGAGCACCACTGTTAACTCACCCATACACCTGGCACCCTCTTTCCCCCTTCCCTCACACAACCTGGGAACTTTTTGTGATATACAAGCACTGATTTTTCAAATGCCTTGCCTGCTCTATCCCTTGGGAAAGTCCTGCTTGGACTTCTTCCTCTGGGCATTCCAACTACACAGAAAGATATAGTCTGGGGCAAAAGATGGACAACGATATAAAACTCCCAATGCTGTGCCAGAACCAAAAGAAAGGAGAAAAAAAAAAAAAAAGACTTAATGTTTTCTATGAAAAGATTTAAATCTACCTCCTGTATTTCCAGGATTAGCTGACATAATGGGGTCAGCCTGCTGGTAAGAGTGATTTAGAGAACACTTATTGGCAGCTTTTCTGCTAAAAAGCAATGTCTTTAATTTGCTTTAGGGCAAGTCCCTTGTACCTAAAGAAGTCTTGAGTGCTTTGTG